GACTCATAAGGCATGGATAACATTACAAAGAAGTTATTCCAGAACAGCTAATTGTGCTTATGAGGAACCTGTACATAGACCAAGAGACAATTGTTTGAACAGAACAAGGAGATATTCGATGGTTTAAAGTTAGGAGTGTGTTGAGGTATTATTTCACCATACTTATTCAATCTGTATGCTGAGCAAATAATCAAGAAGATGGAATATATGAAGCAGAATGAGGCATCAGGATTGGAAGAAGAGCCATTATCTGCAATATGCAGATGATACAAGCTTGCTTGTTGAAAGCAGAGATGACTTAAAACACTTACTGATGAAGATCAGAGAACACAGCCTTCAGTATGGGTGGCACAATGAGGAAAACAAACTCCTCACCACTGGACCAATAAATAACATCATGAGAAATGGAGAAAAGATCGAAGTCGTCCAAGACTTCATTCAACGCTCATGGAAACTGCAGTCAAAACAATGAGTGTATTCCATTAGGCAAATCTGCTGCACAGTACCTCTCTAAAGTGTGCATTTTCAGTCACCTCAGAAGCATGTGAAGATTGGGCAATTAATAAGGACCACAGAATTGATGCATTTGAGTTATAGTGTTGGAGAAGAACATTGAAAGTACCATGGACTATCAGAAGAACAAAAAAATCTGTGTTGGAAGAAGTGCAGCCAGAATCCTCCTCAGAAGCCAGGATGGTGAGACCTCGTCTCTCACACCTTGGACATTACTATCTGAAGGGTTCAGTGCATGGAGAAGAATATCATGCTTGGTAAAGTGGAGGGTCAGTCAAAAAATAGGAAAACCCCAATAAAATTGATTGGTACACTGGCAGAAGCAATAGGCTGAAACATGAAATACTGTCCTGTCCTGTGCCAATCTCACAGGACAACCTGTTGGCACAGAACAGGACAGTGTTTCATTCTGTTGTGCATAGGGTTGCTACGAGTCGGAACCCACTTGATGACACCTAGCAGTAAACAATTCATTCTCATGGAGTCCTGGTGTGGATAAACACTGGACTGCTAATTGCAAGATTGGCACCTTAAACAAGCCCACCTTAAGCAGGGTTGATGAGAGTTGGAACAGACTCCACAACACTTAGCTCTTGTTTTGACTGGATGTGCCAATGGGCCTTAATATATTACTCTCCTATCTAGAAATATGTGGTTTCTTCTCACATTAGAGGACAAAAACACAATCCACAAAGCTTACATACCGTATAACTGTATTTTTACAAAACTGTTGAAATGACTAAATTAAACTGACAGAGCACGGATTAGTGATTATGTGGGTTTAAAAATGGCATGGCAGAGGCAGCTGACCTCTAACTTCATGAAGGAGAGAATCATCATCAGCCTGAGTCCAAGGCTAACCCTTAAGAGGTGGTCAGACATGCCATCTTTCTACACATTTTCCAGCTGTTCTTCTATGGCAGTCTAGACTTTTCTGCTGGGTTTGATCATTCATTACAATGGCTTCACAGAACTCACAGAGAACACTCATGATTATGGAATTTATTAGGGAAGTAACAGGTTAACTGTGCCCACAGGTGTGCCTGTCTGGCCCTCAGCCTCTTGGACCTTGTGGGTTGGTCTGGCACCTTTCCAGCACCAAGTGTTACAAAGCTCTTCAGCTCCGTGGATAGCTGCCCAGAGGCACCACCCGACTCCACCATCATGTCTCCTGCCCAAAGGCACTTCACTGTCTTGCTTCATGGGTTGGCAAGCCTAGCTACATTGACGAATGGACAGAAGTTACTCCACCAGCAAGCCTTCCAACTGAAAGTGCTCAACTTTCTTGTTCTGTGCGTCAGCCAGTCTAGCTTCACCCTGTGCCAGGTGGCACTTCACTCTGCAAGCGAGCTCCCATCCCAGAGGTGCTCAATTTTCTCACTCCTTGGGCCAGGAAGACCAGCGCTCAAGAGTCTAGGAGGTTCCCAACAGTGACACCAGGTCCACAGGATGGAATCTGCTCCTGTCTCTTCAGGGTAGTGTTCAGGCCTCCAAGTCCACTTTTAGGATGTCTTTTAAGGCTGGCAAAACTGACCAATCCCCTCATTACAATTCCAGACACTTCATTTGCATAGTGCTTACTTACATTAGGAGCAAGCTGTCCTAGTCCTTTGGTGGGCCATCAGAACCAGACTTGAATAGACCTATGCAGTCATTTGGTGAATGTTTACAAACACTGAGACTAGAAGGGCCATATTACATAGTCCACTGCAGTATAGGACCGGCACTCCTACCTGTTGTCCTTTCAGACTTGAAGGATTAACTCCACCCCTACCCCCCAATCATTTTACCAGCCACGGACAGTCTAGTCGTAGGCAGAATACAACCCAACCTAACTGAACGATTTCTGACTCATAGTGAGTGACCTTCCAGAGGGTTTCTGAGGTTACAAATCTGTCCAAGAACAGAAAGCCTATCTTTCTCCCACGGAGCAGCTGGATTGAACTGCTGATCTTGCAGTTAGCAGTCCTGTGCTTATCCTACATCACCCTCAGGGCTCCTTCATTAGGGTACTACAGGGCTTTATTATGGAAGTAACAGGTTATACATCAGAATCAGGATTCAGGATATAGTTCTCTCGGGACACTCTTCTTAGCTGTGCCCACAGGCAGGCTTCTTCCTAACACTCAGTCTCCTGACCCCTTGGGTTTCCCTGGCTTTTGCGCTACTTGGTCAAGTATTGCAAAAACGATTTGGCTCCACTGATAAAGCGCATTGACAGAGCCACCCACTGCCAGCAAGCCTCTTGTACAAACACGATCAACTTTGTGGCTCCGTGAACCACACAGCCCACTGTGTCATTCCACTGGTCTCCTGGTTCTGCCTCGGCTATTTCTGATGCTGCTTCTTGCCATCTCTGGTATGACAGCTCTGTCAACTGGCTGTAG